AAAAAGCGACCACTGTTTCGTCGACAGCGGTTGTGGCAACGACAATCACGCACACTGTAGAAGGCAGTGCGTGCGCCGGTCGCACACGTACTTCCGAAGCTTCAAGTAGGTTGCTCTCGGATTTCGTTTGACGATTTCCGTACTAAAATTCGAATCACCTGCCGCGATTAGGAAATGTGTTAAGAACATTCGAATTTGGGCCGAATACACATAGTGGAATTTCGCTGAGGAATTTTACGAATTCGTATCTGCCTCAGTTTCGCATAGATTTTACTGTACGTTTAGATGAACGCCTCTAAAACTAATTCATAATAAAATGCTGTAGGTTCACAAAGCCTGGAGCGGATTGAGCTGCTTTTTTTGTCAAGGCGGCCGGATCACGCACAAAAATTTTGACCCAGGAGATTTTCATGACAACCGTACAAACGGAAGAAACGGTCCAAATCCGGGAGTCAGGACATGCTTACAGAGTGCAATGCTTTCGCCAACTAGGTGCTTGAATATGAGCGTTTACAAAAGCTTACAGCTACAGACTTTTTGCTTTTTGTGGCACATGATGTGAAAAAGCCGTTTCCTGTCATGGCTTATTTAGCAGGTTCCTACCTTGTACTCCACCACACAATATAGACTATGAGCAAGACTTTTCAGCTCTGAAGCCAATTAAGACGCAACTAAAAAACCGCCTGAGAGAAAAATCACTGGACTGCCTTATTCATATTGCATGCGAAAGACCCGACGTTGACACCTACCCATACGACGAGGTTGTTGAAAAGTGGGCAAAGACCAAGAATTGGAGGCTGAAGGTGTAGCACCTCTTGGAAGAAGAAAGCCCTCTTGGAAGAAGAAAGAAAGTAAAATGCCTTCTTGTATTTTGTACTTGCGCTTGAACATCTGCTGTTCCGCTGTCATTATTTGGTTCACGCTCATATGACACCCTCCCCCCTCCCGCCTAAACCGCACTTCGTTTGATTATTTGGTTAATGCTAATATCTCTAAGCATTCTTCCCTGCTGAGTTTACAAACCTCATTGTGCATGCACTAGGGTTATAAGGGAGTGAATGCAACAAAACCCACTGGAATTTTCCTCTCCTTGGTGCCTAAGTGGCCGGAAAACCATGCACTGAGGTCTATGCGAAAAAAATCGATCGGATACCAATTTTCCCGCCATGAGATAGCAGATCACCTTGTTTGCTTCACGGGCTTTGGCTACACCGGCTGCTCTAGCTCTCATACCACGTAATGTAAACAACCCGCCTCAAATTCAACATGACAGCAAAGGCGTCGGTGCTATCGCGAACTACCCGTGCAGCACACGAAAGCTCACGACGTTGAGAAGGATGAGTTCATTGAGAAACTGGTTTGGATTACGATTGCTGGAGCAAGCGGAAGTAGGAGGAGGTGCAGCAGTAGCGAGTCGGCAGGCCTTAATGTGTCTCGCTTTTGCACTGCTGGCTGAATCCGTCGCTGCCGCTGCCGGTGTGTCCGCTCGTGTCGTTCCTGCTGGCGTATCTCCCGAAACAATGTTTGTAGAGGTGTAAACTGTTTCTTTTCAGTGCTTTGCGTGCATAAATAGAACTTGATACAAATTTGAATGCTCTGGAAATGAGCAAAATGGAATGAATTCTGAAGCGACGGCAGCTCTGTCAGTTTCGCTTGATTTCTCTAAGACTAATTTTTTTCTTGTCGACTTGGCGGCACGGTTTTCCGACTGCTGAAGCAGCGAAAGCAAGAGAATTTTTAATGAGTTTCGCTACTTTCACTTCCTTTGACGTCAAGTGTGAACGTGCCTTTAAGCATAAGCAGCATGAGTGAAGAAACCGCTACATTTTATTGAGAGACGGTGAAGGCAGGAAAGTTCAGAAGAGCAACACTGACTTTTTTCAGCAAGAAGCAGTTGATCTTAATAAAGTTCTTGTTAATTTTTATTATCAGCTTAAACTTGTTTTTGGTTCATATAAATTCTGGATGATACGAATATTTTACGTGCCCCTTCGAATTAGTATTATGGAGATGCTACTGTGCAATGCCTCGATTATGTCAACAGTTTTGCATGGGGCCTTGAAGTTGTCAAAGCGAGGCTCATTGTTGCATCAGAGGTGTTGACTTTATTGTTCATGTTAAGGGGGCAGGTGATGTTGAAAAAAAACTGTTTTGTTTGCTGACCTAGAGCAATGAAATTCGGCATGCCTACTCATAAGTGTTTTGAATAGGGAAATATGCAGTTTCATCATGATACCTGGAGTAGTTCTCAAGTTACATCATGCTACGTGGCTAGACTTTTATGGTCTGTTCGTGGAAAGCCTAGCGATGTAACAAAACATGCCAGAAAGCTGCAATTGGTGTTGATCTTTACTCAAAGTAAGCTTATTGGGTATGATAATCTTAGAATTTTTTTCTCTCTGCTCTTTCTTTAAATAAAAAAATATTTCATCATGGCTGCCTAAACACAGTTAGAAACAATGTCATGTACAAGTCATCTTAAAAAAAAAAAAACTGGGCCATAAACAAGAATTCAAAAATTGTCAGACCCTCAAGAAATTTGTTTGGTATACAGGAAAAAAAAGACTGCATCAAAATCTGTCTAGTTGATTGATTGATATGTGGGGTTTAACGTCCCAAAACCACCATATGATTATGAGAGACGCCGTAGTGGAGGGCTCCGGAAATTTTGACCACCTCGGGTTCTTTAACGTGCACCCATATCTGAGCACACGGGCCTACAACATTACCGCCTCAATCGGAAATGAAGCCGCCGCCGCAGCCAGGATTCGATCCCACGACATGCGGGTCAGCACCAAAAAAGAAGAGAGTAGTCATTCCTGTGCTACACTTTCCACCAGCAATGCACAATGTGCAAAACACACGTGTGAGTAAAAGCCTGTCAATGTTTTTGACAGGCTTTTTTTCCAACGAACTTTCTTGTTCTTGGTTGGATATTGATGAAAATGGGCACAAGACACTTGGCCTCACAAGTGCTTCGATAAAAATTTCGAGGCGATACCACAAATACTTAATGAAAGACCAATTATTTCTTCATTGAACCACGTGAAGGGGCTGAGCGCAATGCCCCCCGCCCCTAACAGTAGTATTGATAAAACTGGGTTTAAGGTTTCAATTTCCCTTTATGCCTCTAAAACACCTAAAAATTGTGATCTCAAATTTGCCTTGCGATATTCGACTTCTCAAGCATGTGGTCACTTCCCAGAGTGCCTTTCATTAACTTAATTAAGTACTCGTTTATAAACAATCACTCAACATTTTTTATATAGAGAGAGGTTTATATTGCATCAAAAAAATGGCTCACACCATGACAGCCTATGCTTTCTTTCCAAATAACAAGGTTATGGGCAGGAGATTGGTGGCACAGGAATTTTTTAGCAGTTTATTTAATGACGCGTGACGGGCATATAAAAATTCGTGCCCCTGCTTCATACATTCTCTTTTGCAACTCTAGCCAAGAAACGCATCAGCATATGGCCGGTTGCGGAAACGCTTTTCTACGAGGCTTCATTGTCTCAGAACGTTCATAGACGCTCGTGGCGATACCAAGCACGGCTCCAAGCACGTCTAAATTGCACCACAAATGCTTATTGACAGAACTCCATATGACCGTGGAGTGCATGGCCGCTTGGACAGTGTAGCCGGCGCGTGATGCCCTTGGCGATAACGTTCGGTGACAATGCGCGAAATGTGTAGCTACCGTGACAAAAATTCGGCACGCGCTGCGCTTGGTATCGCATTTTCGAGTGATGACGCGCGAAACAGCGGCAGTGGGAGGGGGGTTTGACGAACTTGACTGTGGGGTCCGCTGCCGATGCGTAAAATGCTTATCCGTGGTTCTGAGGAGCTAGCTAGAAATGTGCTTCGTTGCTTGCGAAGAAGCACGTCAGCCCGATTGCACTACCGCATCATTCTTTTTCTCGCAGTCTCGCCGTCAGTGGAGTTAGGCCTAAAAACGACTCCGATGACGCACCGCCACGCTCGTAGTAATCTAAACGTGAATCCGCTTACAGCTTCGTTTCTTGCGAAAAAGCACGTCGCCACGAGTGCGCTAGCGCGTCGTTCTTGCCTGCAGTCTCGATGTCAGCAGAGTTGCGCCTCAAGACGGCTCGCGATGATGTGCCGCGCTGGTGGACCGCTAGTCCGCTCATAGTAATCTGATCGTGCATCCGCTTACAGCTCCTAACTAAAGCGTAATTATATCCTAAGGGATCGTCGAGCCATGAACATGTCAGGAAGTAGCGATTTTCGAGAGCCAAGTCCTCGAACGCACAAGCAGCAGACAACCATCTCCCGGAGCAAGCATCGGGCCAATGGCGAGGGGAGCTGAGGCAACATGGCGGCCACAGTGAATCAGGGGCCTCGCAACGACTTTTAGACCTTTGCTTTTTGTTCATTTGTTTTTAAAGGGAGGAGCCAGCTGAGGCGGGAAATTTAAACACGGAGAAATGCTCTTTCTGATGCGCCCAAGAAGCTGGCTCCTGGCTATGCCATCGTGAAGCTATAATTTCTTGCAAATCGCTGTTTTGTCGCGATTGCCAGAAAAAGGTTTCACTGCCTAGGAGGGTGAAATGAATTTTCCGAAGCACTTCTGCATGGTTTTCAGTGAAGATATTTTGGAATTAGATGGAAAAAGGGTTCCAGAAACTGAAAACTTTATTGAAAAATCATTTTCTTCGCCATTTTACACGATACCAATGCTGCATCCCCCCTCAAGTGACACAAGGAAATTAAACACATGAAAATATAAGAAAAAAAAGCTCAATGTGGTGTCTGCTTTACATGAAATAACTTCATCTACATAGCTCTAGCCAAAACATAGCCACCACTGAACAGCAGGAGCCTATCAGTGGTGTTTGATAAATCGCATGAGAACTTAGCAGCATGACTGTACACAGAGTTGAAGACATACATACTGCTTCAAGTTTGTGTTCAGTTTAGACCACTATCTTGTATGATGAGAGTGCCCCGCCCCCAATGCATTTTAGCAGACAACTCACCTCAGCCAATGCATCAGTCATCACATCCACATTCTTCCTCGGTATGTCACCGGTTTCATAGAACTTCAGCCTGTCTTCGACCTGCTCTTTGAGCTTCAGGCCAAAAATATTGGTTGGCAAGTCTAAATTAAAAAGAAAAAACAACAATAATGGAAGCTTTAAATATTGCATAATAAGCTAATATAAATAGAATTGCAAAGTTCTGAGAAAAAGATCCGCGCTTGGAAAAATACAAGCACCTACAAGTAAATGCTGTGACAGTCGAGCAACATCTCTGCTTCATTAACTAATGACAACATCTTACCTGCATTATCAAACAGGGCCTGTTTCAATATCAGATAATATACAAGGGTGACTATTTAAGAACAGATTTGAAAGTTCCCTGCACTGCTCACAGTAGGGAATCTACCCCACGGCAACAAGCACAATGAAAAGGGCAAAGTCAAGATTAATTGATATGTACGGTTTAACACCTTAAAACCACCATACTATTATGAGAGACGCCGTAGTGAAGGACTCCGGAAATTTTGACCACCTGGGGTTCATTAACGTGCACCTGAATATGTGCACACAGGCCTACAAAATTTCTGCCTTCATCGGAAATGCAGCCGCCACAGCCAGGATTCGATCCCACGACCTGCGGGTCAGCAGCCGAGTACCTTGGCCACTAGACCACTGCGGCGGGGCACAAAGTCAAGAGACTGCATCAATATTTCTTCCATGATAACGCAATTGTGTAGCATTAAGTTATGCACACAAAGCAAACGAAATTCCATGTGAGCATTCTGTATAAATAGACAATGCACTAAATGTGTGCGATGTCCTGGTTTTGTACAACTTGATGGTAGCTAGAGTAAACAACAACCCACTACGGCATAAGCAGTCTTATGGAGGCAGAGTAGGGGATTTGTTCAGTGATGCTACTCATGACTTTTGATTTAGAGCAATATTTGGCGCACCAAAATTTTAATTTTGAAGCAGCCATAACTTCAATCTTTGTGCATTGTGGAACAGGTACTTTTACATCTGGGAACACTATGCAGCATCGAATTTCACAATCTGGAGTACACTGGAGAACCAAGCTACATTTACATTTAAGCACCTGAACAATTATTATGCAGCTCTTATGAAGAGCTAGAAATATTCAGATTCATTGCAAATCTCCAAGAAAAAATCACCTCAGGGGCACTCCATAGCTCCTTCAATAATGTGAAAAATAAGAGCACGATGCAATCACCTGTTCTGACATAACTGTTGTTATTAATTTTAACAATTACAAATAAACAAAATACTGGGTCATTAAATTTGTACTTCATGAAATAACACTCTAAATACATCTGGGTCATTCCATGTCAAACATCCCAGCCATTTTGGTAACCATCTCAAATGTATCTGAAAAAAAAAAAAAATTGTGCTGATTTACTGCATTGAAAACAATGAAACGGTAGAATATTTCTGAGGAAAAATTTTTTTTGGTTATCTGGCTGCCTTCTCAACTTCCCGGAATGTCGTTTGGGTGTTGTTTGGGGAAAAATTCATTTTAAAAGCACATTCTATACCAAACTTGGTCTACATGTTGAGTGAAGGTTCTTGTGTAAGGTGTTGTGTTTGAATCTAAGTAATATTAGTGAAATTTTACTGGCACATACGCCTCTAAGAATTTAGCCAAAATGTGTTACGTTTGCATTTTTTTCTGTTGCAATACAGCCCTTTGCATGAATATCTGAGCAGTGAATACTTGCTCCATAGAAAATATGTTTTGAAGAAAAAAATATACCTTCTGTGGAGTAAGTATCCACTACTCATACATTCATACAAAGTGCAGTATTGCAATAGAAAAAATGGAAAGATCACACATTCTGGCTTAATTCTTGGAGGCATATTGCCAGAAAAAATTGCTTTAATATTACTGAGCTTCAAACACTTTACTTAATTTGTAGACCAAATTTGGTATCGAAAGAAGCGGTGCTTTTACAATGAATTTTTCCACAAACAATACGCAAACGACATTTCGGGAAGTCCAGAAAGCAGCCACGTGACCAAAAATCTTTTTCTCTTAGAAATATTATACTGTTTCATTGTTTTGAATGCAGTAAATCAGTACAATTTTTTCGAATACATTTGAGATGGTCGCCAAAAAAGCTGGGACGTTTTGGCATGGAATGACCTATCTGTGATTATCAGAAAAGGTGGTAGACAATTTTCAGCACGTAGAACAGTGCCTCGACGTGAGAGAGCCGCACAGTCCCTATTAGGTTCTCATAACACGACTTCAAGGCAAAACCCAGATTATTTTTCTTCCCAACTGATTGTATTGCTAGGCACAACATGACAACCCTTAGTTAGCCCCAACAAAGCTCACAACCTCCAACACTCCTTTTCATTTTTCTGGAGCGCCTCTGTGCTTTAACAAGACCATTTCAGCAGTGCTTCCAATTTCGCATGCGCCGGGTTGCCTGAATGATACAAATCTGCCTCAAATTGAGCTTCCGTGAAGTGTCCTCTGGGGCCCTCTAGAGACAAGTAAAACCATACAGAACCCTCATCGGGTTTCTTAGGCATTTTCTTAAGATGACACAAAGGTGCAAGCTATCATCTTTTTCTTCTCACATGATGTACTGATTGTCCCCCCCCCCCCCCCCCCCCGCCAAAGCTTCCAGAACCTAATCTCGTTTTGCACTGCATCAGAAGCATTCCAAGCTTTGTGCACTTCATCTGGTTATGCACTGCCTTTATGATTGGCGCACCAATCACAGAGGCAGTGCAAAGTGACTATGTCACATGAGATGAAGCCATCATGTGCTATACAGTGTATGATGTCGCAAAATTTGGTGATAATTTACGTCACCGTTACATCATCACAATAATTTTTTTTAAAAAATCAGCAGTGTTCACGCCCTGAAAGTTGACAGTCAGTTTTTGTGTTTGATAAGGCATACACAAGGTTTTCGCAAATAATGTTGCGTATTCGACTTCAATCTGCAAGTAATCTACCATATGGCCCTTATTAACTCGGAGGTCGATGCTCTTATGCCCATGTTAAAAAAAAAAGTGGCTATACCAAACCAATTTATTGTGAAATGTCTGTCCTCACAAGTAGAGGTGCAATTGCGGTGCCACTGTATGGCATACTGAAGTGTGTTGCAGTACACATGATTTTCATATAACCAAAGATGAAAGTAGAAATAGCAGCCAGAAATATTCAATATGAGTGTACACACCACTGAAACAGTCAATCCGTGAAGCCAGGGAACACTTGTTGGCCAAGTAGCGCGAGATGCGGCCTTTATTTTTGGCCCCAGCACGTCCAATGTATGTTGAATGAAATATGAGGCCGTACTTGGGCGTGTTGCCTCGAGTCTTCAGAGCCCTATGAACATAACATAATTAGTTTTACATAGGCATCATCATAGAATGATTGAGAGCAAAATAGCAGGCATGCCATGTACTGCAGGAAATTTCTCCAAAACAAAAGGCACACAATATTAGGGCAGAGGTTGTACTTTTCTTCGTGCACGTTCCCCTGATCTTTTTGGTCAGTGAAACTAAAGATATGTGTAAAGAAACTAGATAGGAATTTCACGGTATAGCAGAAAGTTGCAAACATTTTTTTTTCCAGACCTCTAAGATAATGAGGACTTTGGACACAAGACTGCACCGCACAAAAACTGTATAGTATGCAAAAATACCAGATGCTGTATGGTACTGCATCGACTTTCTGAGGCAGATGCGTGACGTCAAAAACATGCCAGATTGTTTTGAATAAAAATATAAGGACGTTTTAGTACCCAGAACAGTTCACAACTGCAGTGGTGGGAATTGATTTGTGGGGTTTAACGTCCCAAAACCACCATTTGATTATGAGAGACGCCGTAGTGGAGGGCTCCGGAAATTTTGACCACCTGAAGTTCTTTAACGTGCACCCAAATCTGAGTACACAGGCCTACAACATTTCCGCCTCCACCGGAAATGCAGGTGCCGCAGCCGGGAATCGAACCCGCGACCTGCGGGTCAGCAGCCGAGTACCTTAGCCACTAGACCACCGCGGCGGGGCCGTGGTGGGAATTCCTTTGAGCATTTTGGAGCAGGCAAAATGTGCTTTTGGGGCAGCTACCTCTGTGTGTGGAGCCCGAGTGGGCTTTCCATGACACTCACAGAGGAAGAAAATTTAGATTTAACTTAGTTTAATGTTCCCTCAGCTTACATAATCATTTCTACAGAAGCAGCAAGCCCACAAAACAAATGTAGGATTATGTACAGAAGTGGAGGATATTGCACCAACAAGCTAGCTGAAGCAAGCATGAAGTTCATAGTAGCGTGCGCAACACACAAACCCATGAACACACAGACAATCAAAGCTTGTTACAGTAGAACCTCGTTAATATGTTAATACATGCCGAGAACCTTCTGGGAATGCGGCTAACTGTGCACTGAACGTAGTATGCATCAACCGCCAAGTACATAAGCGTGCGCAAGAAGAAGAAATGAACATGGGCTGGGCACGTAGCACGTAGGTATAGGATAACTACTGGTGATTAAGGGCAACTGACTGGATTCCCAGAGAAGGCAAACTCACGAAGGGGCAGACCGAAAGTTCGGTGGGCCGATGAGATTAAAAAGTTCGCAGGTATTACATGGCAATGAAAAGCACAACACTGGGTTGATTGATACATCATGGGAGAGGCCTTTGCCCTGCAGTGGGCGTAGTCAGGCTGATAAGCGTGTGCAGAGTTCCCATTCAAAGGAGGGGGGGTGGTGTAAAGGTTCATAACAGCGCTCGCCTTATATAATGTCATGGGGCTGGCTTTGCTGCATCTCCTCTCGCCCCCCTGACTCCCCCCCCCCCCCCCGTACGCCATCACCCCTAGAGAAGGAATGAGTGGGCTGCCACAGAAAATATTGCCTAAAGTGGCCAACTCGAAGCTATTTAATTCTTTCCGCTAATGTTCAGAAATGATTGGCATTCTTGTATGACCGTCCGATGGCACGCGGTGGCGACACAAAAGAGCATTTCGAAACTACTACGGAGTCCGGGATACACAGCCGACGCAGCGAGTGACACAGCGACAAAATGGACATGATCGGCTGTTCAGGATAAATGTGTGCTAAATCTGCTACTTAGTGAAAACTGACACAGCTTTTGTTAAGACTCGGTACGGTCGCAGAGAGGCAATAGTCTACTGGCTAGTTCAGTGCAGAACTTCGCCTACTTTCTGTACACACAGTGTTGAGCTGCTTGCGCCCACTCTACTTCAGACCGTTGATTGATTGATTTGTGAGGTTTAACGTCCCAAAACCACCATATGATTATGAGAGACGCCGTAGTGGAGGGCTCCGGAAACTTCGACCACCTGGGAACTTCAGACCGTGCACAGATGCAGTGAGAAACCTGTTGCGTTAAAGCGTCAATGTGCAGCTAGCTGCAAGCAGTGCTATAGCAGCCCAGGCAGCGAACGGAGACGCGATTGGGCTGTTGCCTGATGAAAGCGTGTTAGTTTCATGATGCGACAGCCTAGCAGCACTGAACTCCACAACAGCGCGATGCTTGTGTTTCTACGAAGTGGCGCACATAGAATAAGGTCTCGCACAACGATTGAAACGGCAGCAATCGGCACCTATGCGCTCTCAGATAGTCTCCGGCTATTAAAACTGTGCAGTAGGCTTACCGCGGAGTTACACCACACACGTAGGCTTTGGGACGCCGATAAGTCATACTGGCATGCTTTCCAATAGCCACATTGTCTTCGTTCTTTGCTGATAGTACTTACCAGAAAAGGCACCACCGCTAGAGCGGATAAGTACGAATAATTGATAGGCTGATTCTGTGCTTCTGCAGCAGCACAAGTGTACGATATGGCGACCATCACGTAATATTCCCTCACAGTGTGTGTTTTCAGCATTACTTCCGGTTCCAAAACCACCTTGTGGTGCAGCAATGGTGCAGTAATTTTCAGTTTGCGCAGGTTTCCCACCACTGCAATGGGAGCCTTGTTTGGGAGATTGTGAACAAGGCTCCCGTTCTGGGTGCAGAAATGTCATATTTTTACTCTATTGTGGTCGGCGTTTTTGCCTTTTTATTACAAGATTCTTCCCAACCAGATGGGCATCCGTCGAAAACCTTGATATCTGGCCAGACAACAAACCACCACTTCAGTGTTGCACATTGCTATTCACACCTTCATGATCATGCAACATATTCGCCTCTTTCCAAGTGTAGCCACTGCAAGGGGTTTTGCTTACTTGGCGCCCAACTGCCACTTTGACCTTTATTACTTTTGGCCACTACTTGCAGGGCAGCTAGCTACAACTCGTTAGGCATACCCAGATGACTAGCAAGTCAAAATAAAATAACTTCCATGCGACGGATTCGATTCAAATTTTGCCAAACGACCTACGCCTAGCGCACCGAGCAATCATAGGAAGGACACACCTCGATTCTGAAATTTGATGTCACTGCTCCTTTAAATTTCTTTTCACTCCGATGCGTCATATTTTACCACGGATTTGAAAAATGTTCTCTATATGTGGATGCAGTCTTAATGGGTAGTACAGAAAATTTGTAAATGCACCTTTTATGCTCATTATAACGTACTGGTTGTTATAGGAGGGTTTGAAAGTATTTACAAAAGCAGTACTCACCTAAACAACGCCTTCTCAGCACCAAGAATTTGAACAGTAGATGCTGGGTATTTGGCCAGGTTAGTCAGGCTACCTGCATGTGATATCAACCGTGCCCCTACCTGCAATGTAAAAAAACAAAAACGAAATGTCGCGGCTGGGATAATAGTTGCAAGAAACGTTGAAACGACAGTGCGGTATGTAAACTTTCTTCAGCTGAAACCTGCAGCAGAAAATTAAGTTGATTTAGCTGACAGAAATGATGGATGTATTAAACATTGCTTCTTGTTTTACCTTTCCTAGAACTTTACAGCTGCAGTAATAATTTCTGGGCTTCTACAAGCCAAAACCACAGTATGATTCTGAGGTGCGTGGTTGAGGAAGATTTCAAACTAATTTTGGACATGTGAATTCTTTATAGTGCACCTAAATCAAGCACGTACATGTATGTTATTCCATTTCTGCCAAAGTGAAATTCAGCCCTGGTGGTTGTGAATTGAATCCGCTTTTTTTTTTACCACCCCAACATCACCGCAGTCAGCTAGGATAACATGACAGGGGGCCAAACAGCCATTGGCGGACACAGATATCAATACACAACTCTTGAAAAGATAAGAGAAATTAAAACACTTTTGTCCTATGCATCTATGCGCACAAATCTGTGAAAAATTTGAAAGCCACGACAAATATAAAAAGAATGGTATTCTGTGCACCATCACGAAAAAAAAAGAAAAAAAAGGGTGTGTCCACTTGCAACATGCAAAAACAGTGACTAGGAGGCTACGATTTCAGACTCATTTCCCCGCTAATTTCTTAGTGCATATATTGTTTTTCTCCAAATGGCGTCGGTGTACAGAAAGTGATAGTACTATCCTGTCTCAAGGACACCTGTGTGCCACTTATTGACCAGAGCGTGCACCTACTGATCAAGCAGCTTTGTTTTGCCTTTCCTCCTTGCTCCTGCACAGCTGGTCAATCATGACCCTTATGTTTGGCCACAAGACATTAGGCACCCCAACGTGTAGAGGAAAAATGAGTTATTTTAAGAAAATTAGGTCAAACTTGACGCGAAAATGGAAAATACAATTTGATGTGGCACATTTAGAAAAAGCGAGAGACAGATAGCACTGCAACACATACAGTGAAATCTTGATGCAACAAATCTCAAGGGACTGCTAAAAATCATTCCTTATGTTGAAAAATCGCGTTGAAAGTAATAAAAATTCGTGCAAAAATTGTAACCGCGACCACATGCGTCGCCTACCTGTGTTGCGTGTTTTATAGATTCCCGACTGTGTTATGCTCTAATGAGTGCAATCTATCCTGATGTGGGCAGCTTGACTGATGAAAGACTAATTCTTGAATGTGCGCATCCTTCTGACGCACTGCGAAGCATGGATGTTAAAGTGGTTGCACAGTTTTGTCGCCGTCTTTGCTCTCGTCACTGTTTCCTTGTGAGCTTAGCTGACGATCTAATCGATTGTCAGCTTAGCTCACATGCATGTGTAACCATCGGAGACTTCATCCCATAGATCACCCGCGTCGCATTTTTCCCTGCAGGGGTGCAACAGCCAAAATGCCATACCTGCCAACCTGCCAACAAAGAAACTTGTAAAACCCCCGAGAGGGGAAGGGGGGGTTACTGACTTTTCTTAAAAATTTGTAGCTGTGATGGATTTGCCTTTAGCAAGAAGCATAATCACGTTTTGCCACCATAAAGTCAAAGCGACGCGCTGCATTGTTTCCCCTCATTTTTGGCACTGAAAGAAAAAAAAAGCATTGCAAAAAACAATAGGGGAGGGGGTGGTCGTCTCCAAATGCAAGCATCGGCACTGCGGTCTCATAATGGCTTGGAGTGGCTGAACACACAAGGGTAGGGTTTCCCACTAAGGTGAAAAATTTTGCGCAATCGAAACTAGCGAAAAATTCGATTTCCGTGAAAACAACTCGCGTATATCTGCACACGTGAACAGACGGGATGGCGCAGCTGGCTGCCGCAAAAGCGCGAGTCAAAGCTTTGACTTTGCTCGCTACTAGATTCTTTGGACAGGAACAGCGAACCGCTTCTAGCCTTTTTTACATCTTTACTGCCTGTGCTGCATCAGCCATGTGCCCTCAAAGCACGTAGATCGCTATCGCATTGCCGCAACCGTGGTTTTTGTGTAAGACGGTTTGCGGCAAACAATAGTTTTGATTTCAATCCATGTGCCTACAAAAATAAGTCGCTTTATGCTATCTATCATCTTAACTGTCGCAGTTTTGTCAACAGAGTTTGCGGAAAGCAGCGTTGCTTTGACCGGTGGAGCATTGGCTGTGCGCACTTTCAGAGATCTGTCAGTAATGTCATCACCATACATGATTGTGTTGAATGACCGCAGTTTCGTCCACAGCGGTAGTGGCAACGACAACCACACGCACTGTAGAAGATAGTGCGTGCACTGGTCGCACGCGTACTTCCGAAGCTTTGAGCACGCTGCTATCAAACAGCCTTCGTTCGATGGTTTCAATACTAAAGTTCACATCACATGCTGCGATTAGGAAAAGTGTTCGGAACATTCAAATTTTGGCCCAACGGACACATGAATTTGGTCGGGGAATTTCACGAATTCATATTTATCGTGGTATCGCGTCGCTGAGACTCTACTGTAAGTTTAGATGAACGCCTCTGAAATTCATTTATAATAAAATGCGGTGGGCTCGCAAAAAGCCTGGAATGAACTGACCTGCATTTTTGTCCATGCGGGCAGATCTCGCGCCCAATTTTATGATTTTCGGGAATCTGGCAGTCGGGAGACTTCGCAGGTATGCGATAATGATAAGACCAATACACATACAGTCGAACTCCGCTTACAACGAAAGCCGCTTCAACGAAAAATTCACAATTCCCCGTTAGCAGTCCATAGGAGTGAATGCATAAATATTGTCGCCACAACGAACACTTTTTTTCCCAGCATCCCGCTTCAACGAAATTTCACGATGGCAAGCGCCATTGCCGCCAACAAAGAAAGAAACTTGGTGCCATTGGAAATATTGCCTGACCCACGCAAAGCCATTTCTTTCCTTTAGCCAAAGTACGGAAAAGTTTTTGACTCCCGCACAACCGCCCAACAGTACGCGGTGGCGACGCTGATGAGCATTTCGAAACTGCCGCGGGATCCGGGATACACAGCATGGTACAGCGACAGAACGGACACAACTGCATCACGGCTGTCCGTGATGCAGTCGATCAGCGGACCGTTTCTAAGCAAAGCTGCGTCAGTTTTCATTTGCAAGCTGCTTGTGTTTCTGTAAAGCAGTGCGCGCTTGAACACGGTCCCGCAAAATGAAGCGGCAGCGATCGGCAGCCTAGCGTGCTCAGGTAGTTGCCAACTAAAAGCGTGCAGTAGGCCTCAAGTGACGGTATGCCACACACGTGCCTGAGCAGATAACCGGGGATGTTTACTGTGATAAGGTTTTTCGCCAGCAATAAGTCATACTGGCAACGTTTGTCTGTGGTCGCCACCTCGCCTTCGACTTTTCCCCGATGGTTACTCGCAACGTCATCGCTGCAATCGCGCTGAAATCGAAATAACTTATCAGCTAATCTGCGCACTTATCAACATGACGGAAAACCATTCACGGCACATTGTGACGTCTGCAAAGTTTAGCAGAGCAGTAAAATTTTGTTGCGCAAAATGTGATCGCTGCACGCAGTTAGTACGCACTATTCGGTAGGCATAGGCCGAACACAATGACTTAAATTGTCCGCGAATGCATTAGTCTCTATGAGACTCGGTTGGGGATTCGTGGCAACTACTTAACCGTTAGTACGCTTGAAGCGAATACGCACTAACGAGGTTTGACTGTAAGCATTGGTGGCTACAGCAATGCATTTCTATCTTGAAGTTCTGCTGTCCCAGCAATACGTATCAGCTGCGGTCAGCATTGTTACTTTATCTGGTCGATCGCACCTTGCGAGCGAAGGGCGGGTGCCTAGAATATTCTAGGCACTATAGTTAGAGTCAGTGCACTTTGACTGCTGGCGCAAACTGCAGGTGGCCGACGTGGCCTGCATTTGTTACAGAAATTAGCGAACCCGAGAAAATTTTGAGGCTGGCTGCACATTTTGGCGCCCCAGCATGGCACAATTTCAGGAAATTTCACGGCTTAGGCGCAGCTCGTCGCAACATTCGAGAATTGCATCAAATCGGAGCAATTAGCGCAGCTTTTGCACCCCTGTTCCCGTCTAGCATTTCTTTCGTGCCGTTTGTGAAGCACATTTTGAATGTTCATTCACCAAGAAAAAGGCTAGAAAACAGCAGTGTAACAAGCGCACAGATAAAGCTGCCAGACAAAAGCAAAGACAAGAAAGCTAAGCCTCACGCAAAAAGCAAGTACCAGGTAGTGATGATGGCGATACGGCTATTGCACATTGGAATAGGGTGGGCACCTATAAAAGTACACGGGTGCTTTGATGATGATGGTAGTGACAGGTGCGGAGAGCTGGACATTATTTCAGCAGCTGCGAGTAACTTTAAAATTGGTATTTGTTGTTTTTAAATGTTGTGGAGATGCAGTAGACACAGTAAACGGAAACTGAAGGGACCGCGAAAATATGTTCCATTTAACAGGAGTTCCGTTTACCGAGAGGTGAACATGAATGCAGAATACAAGCCCGAATCCAAGTATTGCAGAGGCAATAGTTCTGTTCAATCAGTAGTTCCGTTTAACTGATTTCCATTTACTGAGAGTCTACTGTATATGAGGAACAAAAGTTGATACGTTATTCTGAAACATTCGGTATTTTGAAATTCGTAGTACAGTATAGACCGCTTATAACGTAAGTCGCAGGAGTCACGAATATCTGCACTATAACCAAAACAACCTTTTTCAAAGGCCGCACTTGCGCAAAACGTATTGAACATGCAGCTTCGCGTGTCCGAAAATCGAAACGTGTGATGCGTACTTGTTAACATATAAATTTCTGAATGTTAAAAAAATTTAATGTCCAAAGACACACGTTGCCAATGAAATGAACACAAAAGGATGGGATCTAACAAATAAAAGCACCATCACGGAAATTCGCTGACTACTAGACCACCTCGATTATGCGCATTACATAGAAACTATGTTGAATCACATC